GATTTTCACAAAATAAACTGCCAGCATGAACTTTTCAAACACGAAAATGCATTAATTCCGATAGGCGTAAAACTTTTTTCGTGTCTTTCTGTATTGACCAAACGAATGGGATAGAAAGTCACCATGTTTGTCATTAGCGTGGAATTCAATATCCTACAAATAAAAATCATAAATATGTTTTTTTTACCTTTGGACACAAATTTTAAAAACAAATACGAATATTTTTTTCCAATTTATTCCAATAATCCAAGCGGCTTTAAGTGTTTTAAATGAAACTATAAAATATTTACTTGCCACTGCTAATGACGTGTTATATGTTTGTATTGGAAGAAAGAAATTTAAATAAACTAGAAAATCATATATGTTTCTTAAATTGCATTTTCATGCCTAAAATGCTCGCATATCTCACATTTTCGTTTATTTGTTTAGTTTTCCAGAAAATCTTTTCTTCATTGGAATCTCTATGGATGTCATTTGCGTCAAACATGAAATTTGATGAAACAATTTTCTTACCTCCTATTTGGCATGTGTGTCGTATTACATTGAAATTATATTTGGGATAAATTCTTATAAAAGTGAAACAATTTTAGCAGAAGACCGATACCTACAAGGCTCCGAATAAGGAAGTCAGTGAGTATTTCTTCGAACAGTAAGCATGTTTATTGAGAAAGAAGACATCATAAGAGATTTGTTAGTTTTTAAAACGTAATCTTTTGAACGTTTTTCTTATAGTTTTAATTAATCGTTTTCACAATAATGATTTGTTCCTGAATAAATAAAATAATGTTTCAGGAATTTATTTAGAGTTCCGTAGAAATAAACGTGAATCTAATCTGATGACAAAACCATGCTGCATTTAATGGAAAGCAATATAACCCACCTTGAATAATTTATATGGGCCTCCACTTCGACTGACTTGGTGTGATGCTTAGCATGTTTGTCTCGCTAAATTAATTACGATTTAGTATTCAGTTTGCTCCTCACTCGGTGCTCCCTACTTTCAGCCTTGTGCCACATCTAAGCTATGCATAGCAAATGATAACTCTCTACACTTTCCTGTCATTGGGGCTAATAGCAAGATTTGTCATTTTGCAATCTCTTCTAATTTTGGTATTAAAAAATTGATTTCACTTTTGGCATGGTATTTTATTATGCAATTGAATTGTTTATCACATTGGAAGCACGAACGCACACACAAACTAAACGGATGTGGCCTGATGATTGTATTTAGCATGAAATAGAGGGCCTATTTCTGATATTGAGCACACATACTTTATCCCATACATATAGAATACTTTAAAATTATATTTCTTCATATATATATATATATATATATATATATATATATATATGACGTCACACATTATGAAATGAACAAAGTCCGACAATTATTTTATAAAAAAGAATGTATAAACATAAAAATGTCTCAAAAATATATATATAAACCTCAATATAATAATTAAAATTAAATTGAATTAAAGTATCAAGCCCTGTTTCATCCTCAAGCGAAAATTTAAAATTAATTTCTCAATACTTACTCAGAAGAAGTACACACCGTCTTCCTTCTTAGGAGCCTTGTGTTATCGTTTGGAATAGGTATCAGTCTTCTGCTAAAATACTTTCGCTTTTATAAGAATTTATCCCAAATATAATTTCAATATAAAACGACACACATGCCAAATAGATGGTAAGAAAATAGTTTCATCAAATTTCCTAAATTTTTCATCAGAGAAAAATCCAAAAATTTAATTAAACGTTTTCATTGGGTAGGCAATGATAGGGATGATGCTAAAGAGAAGCAGTTCGAGAAGTTCTTAAGTTTCCATTAAGCCAAATGGCAGTGTTCATTTGTGCTTGTTTTGCTATACTTGTCTATGCAGATAAATCTATAGTAATATATAATGAATCCACGGCAAGAGAGACTGCTGAAATGATTTTGTAAACTTATTCTCCAAAATATGTTTTTATTTGTGAACAACACACGGGGAAAAGGAATTCATTTTGCAGTAAACATTGTTGTGAATATATTTTGCATTAAAATAAAATTCGAAAAGAAATATTGTAGAAAAAAGCAAAGGTCAAAAGAAAATATAATATTATAGAGAAACCGTTGGTTATTTTTTTTTTTGGGGGGGGGGTTGTATTTATTTTGTATTAATGCTTAATTCATTAATATTTTTTTTGTTTTTTTAAATATATTGTGTTATTAGATTTTTGTATAAAAAGAGAAAAACAAGCTGTTTATGTATTTTTAGACGGTCTTAACATGTTTCAGATTAAAAAGACATGAATTGTATATAAACCAAAATTGGGCTGTTAGAAATTAGCCTGAAATGTGACATGTGGGGCCGTATATATTAGTTTCACCGTTGGGCCACTGGATCGCTTTTCATTTATAATGGTTTATTGTGCAGAGGAAAATGATATCACGAGAATTAACCTTTCATATTTCACGTTTTAATCCACTTGATCATTTCTCAATGGCCAGAGCGTGTACGTGCATGTCCGATCTCGGACCCCTCCTTCGAAAGTGAACGTTACACTCTTGTTCGGTATATTGTAGAGACTTTACCCTCGTCGCTGGGGTTATTGTTTATATATCTACATCTGGCATTATTTTTTTCAACACTTTCGAGCCCCTTGTAGCTAGTCCAGTCACGTGATTATTCACGTGTCAACTGGAAATTCACCTAGGTTTAATCGTGCACCTGCTTTGCTCCGGCATCTCATAGGCTGAGAATTATGTACTTCATCTTGCTTAGGGTGAGATGATTTTTTTTTAAAAAAATTTGAACTTGCCTAGTCCATAATGAATCTACTTAGACCCAATTCAAACTTGCTTATTTCATCATGAATTTGTTTCGTTCCAAATCAAACTTGCTTATTTGATTTTGAATTTGCTACGTCCCATTCTGAACTTGGCTATTTTATTTTGAAATTGCTTAGTCCCAAAATGGCTTTGATCAGTCCTAAATTGAACTTGAAATGGTATACATATCCTTACAAAATGGATTTCTGCCATTCTGCCCTTACAATAACCTAATTCAGTCACATTCTATTTTGAGTAAGTCTAACGCCTTAGATTAAGTGAACAATATTATAACACAATATGAATGAACTTTTTGAAGCAGTTGCCTAAGAAATGAAAGGTTACAGTTAATATGCGGTATAGAAAGAGACGTTGAGGTTTGAGAGATCCAAGTAGTTTGGTCCATCCGTCTAAATGACAACCTGGGGAAGCTTTCCGTAATTAAGGGTTCTCGGAAAATGATTAAAGATTTTTCGTCATGGTTCCCTGGTGATAAAAAAAAGGAAAAAAAAAACAACTAAGATTCAACTTCATGTCGGCATTCTTCCGGTATAATTTCTTTTCGCTGAAATGATTGGAGACACAGATTTCATTTTTGCACATCTGCCAATAATGTTTTTGTTAAATTAACACAATATAGAGGATGGCGAATGTCAGTGTGCTAAACAGCTAATGACACAAGGTCTGATCTTACTGACCTTTTCGAAATAGTATATCCGCCTGCAAATGCATAATTACATCTACGCGGATGAAAATCACAAAGAAACTGAATAAAGCAATAGAATGAGATAAGAAGAAGAAATCGTAATATAAAAGAAGAAAATAAAGAGAATCCTTATGGGAAAGACAAAGAGGTGGGAAAAAAAGAATAATAGTTCTGGGATACGAAAAAGAAGACAAAAAAGAAGAAAAACTAAGGAAGAAGATGAAAAGTAGAAAGCAAGAAGAAGAGAAAGAGAATAAACAAGGAAGAGGAAATCAAAATAAAGAAATAATAATAATAATAAAGATGATGATGATAATGATGATGATGATGGCGATGGTGATGATGATGATGATGGGGATGATGATGATGAAGGGGAGGTGAAATATAAGTAGGGAGGAATGAGGAAAAAAGAAAAGAAGAAGAATAAAGAGGAGGAGATATGAGTATGATAGGAGAAAAAGAGAAAAGAAAGATACAAGAATGATAAAGAAAAAGAAAGACGATGGCAAAAATGGAAAGAAGTAAAAATAAGAAAGAAAATTAAAGAAAGGTAAAATCAATTGGAAGAAAAGAAAAAAGAAGAAAATTAAGACCGTGATGGGATATGGAGGGGAAAAGACATGAAAAAATATCTCTTACTCAAACGGATATTGTTTCTGGAATCTGTTTCTGTGTTATACCGTATTATATATTCCATATTTTGGAATTGTTCATCAAACGAAGGAGAGAATGAAAGAAAGAATGACTTAAAGAAACAATGAATGGAAGAAAGAATAAATAATAAATTGAATAAATAGTCTAGAAAATAAATGAATGAAAGAATAAATAAAAGAAGGAATAGGTAAAGTTACTGGTCAAACAACATCATGAATGGAATAATTAAGGGTCTAACCAAACGAAAGAATGATGGACATGATTCCTGAAATAAAAACTGGACTGAATGAATAAATAAATGGATGGCTGTGTGGATTATAGAAACAATGTACTGATGAAGGAATGAATAAACGAACGATAGAATGAATTCTAGAAAAATGGAATAAATGAAGTAAGGAAAGAATTAATCAACAAATATAGTCTGAATGAAAAAGTGAATGAACGATCGTAAGAATGAATGATAAAATTAATGAATAGGTAAACCAAAGAATATGTGAAAGAATGGACAAGAATGATTAAATAAACAAATGAACAAGAGAATGAATAGACAACAGAATAGTGGAATGCATGATTAAATGAACGTACGATCGAAGGAATGTTTGAGAAACAACGAATGAAAGAACAAAGGAAAGATATAAAGTCAATACGAATGTAGAATTTAAAGACAACGAAGAAAGGAATCTAGTCTATGTGGAGTGTACTTAAATATCCTCCATTCCATTAGTGCGACATTCCTACGGCCCGTGTTTCGCTAAAATCTTCTTTAGTCTTGATCGATATTTGCAATATATGCAAATCCCCGAGGAAACTGTATTACTTTTCATTCATAAACCTGAACCATTTCTCATGTTTTATTAGTAATCATGGATCAAATGACAATAAATTCAGAGTAAATTGGTCGCTGAGTGTTAGTCTCTGTGTTACTTTTCTAAAATCAAAGAGCGGAGGTTCATTGATTAATGAGAAATTGTCTGATAAAAAAAAAAATGCCACTGCCTGTTGCCCACCACGTTGTTTGGTAATGTTTATCAAGTTAATCACATCAATCAATTCTAATGAGTAGAGAGTTCAATTCCCAATGGGTTTTCAATATTTAGAGACTTGTGTCAAATCAAAAAGAAAGTTTCATGAGCAGAATGTTTGACCATTCCAGAAAATATTATTTCAATAACAATATATTAATGTGTTTCTAGGATAACTATAACATTTCAAGTTCAATTTGGGACTAATCAAAGTCATTTTGGGACACAGCAAATTCGAAATGAAATATCCAAGTTCAGAATGGGACGTAGCCAATTCGAAAAGAAATAGCCAAGTTCAGAATGGGACTGAGCCAATTCGAAATGGAATGGCCAAGTTCAAATTCACAATGAAATAAGGAAGTTTGAATTGTAGCTAAGCATGGGAAAATGTTTCGAACTTATCTGCGCGTTTCAATAAACAAATATCATGGATCAAAAAATCAATTGGGAGGAAATTCAGATAATTAAAAGTCGGAGCGTAACGTTGAGTCGATTTTACTATCAATTCCTTAGAAAGGGCTATACTTGAACGGATAAATTTGTGTCAATGTTAGAATTTCTGGAACGTTCACTGGTAAGACAATCATAGAGAAGAAAGTAACAGAGGGGTAGACTGTATGTAGTGTTAAAAAGAGATAATAAGAGAGTTATTCAAAATGAAATGAATTGTGGGACAACAGAAAAAAGTCCTAAGGAAAAGCAGCAAGGAAGTACTGAATCATATATCAAGACAGAGTTTGAAAAAAAGATAGGTATAATGAGAGATTTTAAGCGATGGAATTTGAATCCAAATCATACACCTTTCATGAATTTTTTTGGTTTATTGATTGCTCCTAGAAGATAAAATATTTCAACAGTAAAGTTTAGATTAATTAGAATTTATAATTATTTTATCATATTTAATTGTAAAGTCTTTTTAGCAAAACAATTGCTCAGTCCCAAATTGAATTTGCCTAATACATTCTGGACTTGCAAAGTCCCAAATCAAATTTGCATATTCCATTTTGAATTTGACTATTTCATTTTGAATTTGCCATATCCCAATTTGAATTTGACTATTCCTTTTTGAACTTGGCTATTTCATTATGAACTTGCTTAGTCCCAAACTGAACCTAAAATTGTATAGTTCATTTCTTTGAATAAAGAATCAAATTCAAGATAAATTTATCAACTGACGATGTGAAATTTAAGTTAGAACCTCAAAGGTTTTCAGGAGAAAAGTAGTGACGAAAAGGCGCTTAAACTCAACATTAACGAATATTACATTATTGTCCCTATCACTCTATAAACCTACTTATGTCGTATACAAGAGTTAGACATGTGGGGTACGCTCAAGTAGATACCTACTTTGTTTAGTCTAGCCCAATGCTGGGTCTAAGACATTAAATGTCATAGACAATAATTTGCTAACCATTCTAAAAAAGTATTTGAATATGATTTTCTTTCCTGACATAAGGAAAGATTATTTTAGCATCCAAGGGAGGAATTAAATATGAAATCGTTTGCGTTACTAAACACTTAAACTTTGTTGTCTCGTACAAAACAACAACAAAATATACAGATGAGAGGATCGGTAGTAAACCGTTTAATTTTATTTTACAGATTTTCAGATTGGTATCCTCATCTTTGTAGTTTTTACAATTACTTTTTGGTAAAGACGTAATCTTTCCGCTTTCGTAGGTGAGTTGTGTATAGAATTTCCTTAATTATATTTTATCTTTCAAAATGATAACAGAATTGAGGCGTGATCACAAGAGTGAGTGTCAAAGTCTTGTCTTAACGAGATAGCAAGCAAGATAGCACGGAATAATTTAAGTTTATCAACAAACTGGTTTTACGTTGAAGTTACTGGGGATCAGGAAAAGAGTAACAAAGTTTCAACAATTTCAAAGTGGTTTCTTCTCTATGGTTGTGAGACCTGGCCACTGCGCAGAGATGATCTTCATAAGCCTGAAGTCTTCGATCCCTACTGCCTCCGCCGTATCCTGCGCGTGCGCCTCTCCGACCGGGTCCCCAACTCGTCCATCCGCGCCAGATGCAACATTCTGGGCCTGGAAGGAACTCTGCTTAACAGGGGACTCCGGTGGTTCGGCCACGTGCTGCGGAGGTCTGGTGATGAGTTCGTCCGTAAACTGGTGGCGCCAAACGCAACCACCGGTTCGAGGAAGCGCCGAGGTGGTCAACTCAAGACGTGGCTCGCAACGGTCAAAGCAGATATGGAACTCATATCCGGTCCTCGCGTTTTCGGGGTCCGACGCTAGAATCGCGAATGGCAGGCGATCATGCCGTCGATTCTGCTGCCGATCCATATAAGAAGTATGTCTGGGTAACAACAATAATTTCATAAATGTTCATTACTTGAGGCATATATATGGAATTATGTATATAACTTTTTCAGATTTTATGGTAAATAAAGCAGAAATAATTTATAATAAAACTACAAGGATTATCGAATGAAAGACAATAAATTAATGTATAATAAATCACATATGTGAAGAGAAAGAACACACCAGAAACTCACTGCTCAAGATAATAAATAAAAAATAAATCTGGAATGCCATATATAAATAAATACACTTATAGAAATAAATGTAGCTCTGATTCATTAAAACTTTGGAATACTTAATGTAGGGAAATACTTTTGGGGGGATATTCAATGCTTGTTCCCATTGGTTAAATTGATCAATTGTCTTTTACTTTTCAAACAAATGGTTCTGTTTTTGGTTTGTTACTTGGAAAAAGTATAATAGTAATTTTTGGTCCTTATTCATGCGTCTGTTCATATGTGTGGGAAGGAAATGATTATTATGACATTATTGGTTTTCAATTGAAGAGCTCTAATCCCTGCAAAGGTTTACGGCATTTTTGCAAATGGCACGAATTGATCGTTTTGCTATCAAGTTGTTTGTTTGATCCAAGTCAAATCGATAACCTCATCAAAATCTCTTCAGAGACAATGCCTTGCCATCTCCGATCAATCGGATTGTTTCATTGGGTCACGTCCAGCGCCTGTCGAACCTACTTGGCAATAGCTTTTATTATTTCTTTCTTTCGTCCTTTCTTTCTTATTTTAGCTAATTCTCTATTTCTTTTGCTCATTTTTCCTAACGCTGCTTTTCAATCTTATTTCTTTCTTATTTTTTGCAAGCTTTCCTTGTTTCTTTTTATCCCTTTCTTTCTTTTTATTTTCTTTTTTTCTAAATTCCAGTTGATTTTTTCCCGTTTTTCCCTCTCTTTTTTCTTCTTTTTCAGCTGCTCACTGTTTCCTTTCCTTTCCATTTTGTGTGTTTTATTCTTTATCAAACATAATGTTTATTTTTATTTCAAATTTTCTTTCTCTTTTTCGAATTTTTATTCATTTTCTTTCAACGGTTTAGTTTTTTTAAATATTTTCCTCTTGATTTTATCATTCCATTTTTTCTTTCTTTGTTTCTTTCTAAAATGGTAGTCTACAATGATAGCTCTTATTCGTCATTTCTCTTTCAATTTTTCCCTCTCGATTTCACCATTTTTTATATTTTTGCATCTGTCTGATATTCCTACATTCGTTTTGGCCTGCATTATTTCCATTGATATCATCTGCTATACTCCAATCTTTGTCTGTAGCCAAGCCAGGAACCTGATTCTTATAAATATCTACAACGTTTCTTCGAAGACTGGCACATGAGCAGAAAGAGACGAAAGGAAGATCGCATTACAAGAATGGCTAACATCCCAACATCCTGAAATTCTGCGCTCTAAAAGTTGCCTTCTATCAGGTCATATATTGGGCGAGTCATTAATCGTTGTTCTCTGACTCTAGTCTAAAAGCGTTTAGTTTTAACTAACTTTATTCTTAAAGCTAACATTTGTAGGTACTAGTGTTATAATAGGCTACCTTTTAAAATACAAATGGAACACCTGGCATATTTTTCTTTCTTGATTTTCACAATATTATCCGTAATATAAAAACATACTCAATTGTGCATTCACTCAACTTGAGGTTAACATATTACTATACATCAGTCACTGAATTTATATTAAATAAGATTAACTCCTTCGCAAAGGTGAGTAAATTGTCACCATTTTATTTTATTTTTAATTTCGCGCATTCGCGTTGTTTGTTTTTGATGTTGTCGGCTGCACAGAATAGTAGACTCAGTTGGCTACCGTCTGTGAGAAAAAGAGCACAATGGCACAATTCACTCTGCCAATAATTTTGAAATGGCATGTTGTACTGTTTGGCATTCGAGCCAGAAGCTCCAATACGAGCATTTTAGAGTGTTTGAGTGTCGAAATGACAATGTAGAGGATTAGGAAAAAGTGTAATATTGATTACGAATGTGTTTGGAGTGAACACTTGTGATGACGACGTTATGCTTTTGTTCATCTTCCTACACGGCCTCAGACTCAAAACTGAGGTCTACATCAAGTGGCTTGGGGAGGTAGTGCTGCTGGGTCAAAAGGGTGACTGCTGGAAGTCTGGCAGCAAGAATCTGCACCATACCACACAAACTGGAGATCCCAGTGATGACTGTCATGCAATTTCTGCGACCACATCGCCTCTTACGAGTGGCCACCTAACTCCCCAGACCTCCACATACTTGATTATCATATATGAAGTGCAGTTGAGCGAGAGACCAACAAAACACCTTGTAACACCAAAGATGAACTCAAGGCAAGGATTATGGCAACATCCTTCAACTTATAAAGAATACCATTTAGAATAGTTTCAGGAGATTCTGAAATCATCTGGAGGCTGTGGTTGAAGCCAATGGCGATATTATTGAATAAATTTAATCTTTAATATTTCAAGATATTTTTGTTTCATTTTGGTAAATATATCTGTTAAAATGAAATATGAATTTTATTTTCATTTTTGCGTAATTTAGACGACAATTTAACTATCGCACCCGTATACTACATAATCTAGCTGACATAATTACGACATTAATGCCTATCATTCCATTTCATACGAAAAGAAGTTAACACTTTTAGGTATAAATCAATAGAAACATTAGAAAAAATTGTAAAAAGAAGAAAAGAAGAAAGAAAAAGGAGTAGACTAATCGAGAAAACACAAGGTCAGTAACAGATTAGCCTAGTGGCAGAGAAGATAAGCAAAACTCCATTCATCCAACTAGGGTTTCAGGATTTATATCATTTCGTTATCTGTGTATTTCCTAGCAAACGAAGCGCAAAAATTGTAACAGATCACCTAATAATTATAAAACACACTTGAAACTTAGTACAGTTCGATAACAAAGTCAACATGGTTAAAGAAGGACACTGAATGAACCTTTGATACAACGTAGAAAAGCTATGACGAAGCATAAATTGGTTGTAATAAGCACATTTAAAGTAAAACCACTCGCAGCGTAATGGATATTATCTTCATAGAATTAACGTGAGTAGCTTTTATCCAAAGACGAGACTCTATAATTAGTTCAAGAAAATTTAGAAAGGAACTGTCAATGGAAATTCCGTTCTTTCAAATCAAAGATTCTTCTCAAACACTTTAAATATATTTAATAATATTTGCCAATTGCTATTTATTTATAATAATCAAAGTGAAAGATTTTCTTAGTTTTGTTTCGTTAGGAAATTCACATGACAAATTAAAAGAATATCTGCTTCCGGTATGTAAATTTTCTCTTTGCAGATACTTTCTTCCAGTGATCTTAACCATAAATCTATTACTCACTGACTAATTCCTTAGATGGAGATATTTTTGTAAGCGCCTTAAGTAATGCTCACGTTCACTTCTAATTCTTTTAAAAGGAGTTTTAAAAAAAGAACACGAAGCAGAAACCACAGAAAAGTTAAACGTCTAATAAAATTACGTATTACCAAATATAAAAGACGAAGCAGCAAAGAACATGAAGTAAAGAAATAATAATAATAATCATAATAATAATAATAATAATAGAGAACCAGCTTGGAAAACCAAACTGATTCGAGAAATACAACAAATCAGATGTGAGCTTTCTATATTAGATGAGCTCACCAGAAACCCTAATATTTCCACACGTAAATTCAAAAAGATCAAGCGGAAATATAACATTAAATCCCTAATCGATATTCCATCAATCAAGGAAATGCTGAAGCAGAAACTTCAGCTGAAGGCGCAGAGAACAAGACGATACGAAAAACGTTGTAGGTTCTATCGCCAAAATAAAATATTCCGAACAGATCTTGAGAAATTTTACAGGGAAATTGGAAAAACACCTATACATGTCGAAAGGCCACCGTCGGTTGATAATGTACAGACATTCTGGGAAAATATCTGGAGCAGCCCAAAGGAGTATAACCCAAATGCAGAGTGGATACGGCGTGAAGAAGAACGAATGCTGGATACACCTCTGCAAGAATGGAAAAATATATCCACAGATGATGTTAGGCAAGCTCTAACGAAATCCCAAAAGTGGAAATCCCCAGGAAGTGACAAGTTGCCCAATTTCTGGCTGTATCATCTCACATCTACCCATGAAATTCTTGCAAAAACATTATCAACGCCTGTAAATAATCCCTATAAAACCCCGGAATAGATTACTGAAGGTACGACATACCTCATACCAAAAACAACTGAAACAGACGACCCGAAAAATTATAGAGCGATAACATGTCTCTCCACAACGTATAAGTTGATCACGTCTGTATTGACGAACCGTACTTATTCCTTTCTCGAAACAAACAGCAGTCTCCCGCTGGAACAGAAGGGATGCAGAAGAGGTTCATATGGCTGCAAGGATCAACTTCTGATAAATAAAATGATCCTGGAAAATTGCAGGAGACGACGCAGGAACTTAAGTGCAGCGTGGATTGATTATCGTAAAGCCTTTGATAGTGTTCCACATTCTTGGATACTTAAGACTTTGGAAATGTACAAAGTCTCCCCTGTGGTATTAAATTTCCTTAAGCACAGCATGGGGATGTGGAACACCAAACTATACCTTAGTCACACCGGGGGCACTGCCATATCCAACCGTCTGAGTATCCGACGTGGAATCTTTCAAGGAGATTCTCTGTCACCCCTTCTGTTTTGTTTATCCTTAATCCCTCTTACACATGAACTGAACAACAGTAGCTATGGTTACAAAATAAATAAGAAAATATTCAATCACCTACTCTACATGGATGATCTCAAACTCTTTGCCAAAGACGACAATGAGTAGAAAGGCCTCCTCAATATTGTAAAATACTTCAGTGACGACATAGGTATGGACTTCGGATTAGATAAATGTGCAAAAGTAACTTTCAAGAAAGGTAGAATTACAGAAACACCCTTAATAGATTTAGATTTTGTCACAAAGATTAGGGAACTGGAGCA